ACAAGGAATATAATTTTCGCAAATAAAAGGTCAGTTTAAAGCAATGTGTAAAAAATATAACCTACATTTAATTGAATAAAAATTGCAAATCATAGATGACAATTCTACAATGTACCTATAACGCCATCCTGCGGCGAGCAACAAAACAGGATCGTCAGTATTCGGCACCTGTTATAAAACAGTTCCACCATAGCATACTAGAGGGCGCTATTTACAGTAATAAATAATACATTACAATAATAAAAATATAATAGATATTTATACAAAATAATAATAAAATACTAATTATAATAAAATAATAACAATTAAAGAATAGCACAAGATTTAAAATGGAGGAAGTATTAAACGCTCTTCGTAAAATCCAAGATGAGTTATGTGAACAAAAATTAACTATACAAAGAAGTGGCGAAAACGTCACTAAAAATGTAACAGAGTACATGAATAAAATACTTGAAGAAAAATTTAAAACATGGGAAGAAATGCATGAAAAACTTAAAGATAAGGTAGAAACACAAGAACAACGACTTTTGCATTTGGAGAGACAAGCAAGACAACGAAACCTTGTATTCTTTGGTTTACCAGAAACTGAAAAAGATTACTCATCGTTACAGAATAATATTATAAAATTTATCGACACATATTTCTCACAAAAAGTGGAAAAAACCGAATTTCAAGCAATTCGAAGACTCGGTAAAAAGTCTCAAAGACCTCGCCCTGTAGTAGTCACATTTACGACACTTGGTAGAAAGATTGAACTTTTAAGAAACCAACGCCAACTGCAAGATACATCGTACTACATAAAGGAAGATTTCCCTCGACACGTACTTGAAACCAGAAAGGCGTTACAGGAACAAATAAAAATAGAAAAAGAAAAGGGAAATAAAGCCATAATCAAATATGATAAAATTGTGATTTTAAAGAAAAAAGAGAACTCTATTATAGACACAAGTCAATAGGTCCTATTATAGGCAAATTAATAAGAAAAATAAAATAATGCAATCGCACACGCTTCCTGGTAGATCAGCGAGCTTTTCAGAAGGAGCTTCAAAAACAGGCATGCTCAATTTCCTAATAAACAAAAACACAAACAAAAAAAGTACCTTACAAGACGAAAACAAAACAGAAATATAGCAACCAGCGCACCCCTCTACATTACATACATTGAATAATAAGATAAAAAACTTCGAATTACATCTTCCAAGCCGGCTGGTCACCGAGGAAGATAAAGACCTTAACCCTCCAAAGAAGATAAGGAACTACACTAAGTTCTATATAATAACATACAACGTGAGAACTCTTTCTTCACATGAAAAGCTAATCGAATGACAAGACTCTATAAAACACATAAAATACGATATAATTGGTGTATCAGAAGTAAGAAGACTCGGAACAAAAATAGAAGAGTATGAAGATTTTATTCTTTGTTATATGGGAGAAACACCAGGCAATTACGGAGTAGGCTTTATCATCAGTAAAAGATTGAAATACGCCATCGAAAGCTTCTATGGGATCACAGAACGTGTCGCGGTTTTAAACCTGAGCTTACAAGGAAATAAAATAACCATCATTCAGGCCTATGCACCAACAGAAGCAGCAGCTGAAAATGAAATAGATCATTTCTACACAATACTATATAAGGCTATGGAAAGCGCACACGGAATTATTATAATAATGGGCGACTTCAATGCGAAAATAGGACACACAAAAGAAAATGAATACTTGATAATGAAACAACATGGTTATGGCCAAAGGAATAATAGAGGGCAACGCTTAGTGGATTTTGCATTTGAAAATAAATTTTCCATTCTGAACACTTTCTTCAAAAAAAGACCTGACCGTCGCTGGACTTGGCAATCACCAAATGGACAACATAGAAATGAAATTGATTTTATATTATCAAACAATCCAAATATGTTTATGAAGTTAGAAACACTGAACTTGAACTACCCCTCAGATCATAGACCATTAAGAGCTACAATAACACTAAGAAAACAAAAGAAAAGTAGAGTAAATTATACATCTGCTAATATCAGCTCTCTTAAAAGTGAAGAGGAAATAATTATATACAGGAAATATTTAGTAGATAATATAAGAGATATAATATGCCAGGAACCCGAGTCAGTACAGTCTTATTACGATAAAATTTTAAACGCAATAACTAAAAGTCTCGTGGATGCAAAAATAAACCACCAGCAAAGAAAACCGACAGTTATATCTGAACGAACATCTATACTTATCAAAAGAAGGCAAGAACTACAAAGGAAAAACATAAAACTAGATCAATGAAAAATGAGCTTTCTGCACTGTACAAACTAATTAGTAAATATATAAAAAGAGACTATAAGCAACACAGACAAAAAACATTGCAAAAGCACATTACACAAACAGGTGGCACGAAAAAGGCTTATAAGGAACTACGAACAAAGAAAGTTTGGATAGATGGTCTAAGTCGCTCAGGAAAAAAAGTACATAGTCGAGACGAAATCATAGAAACTGCTACAGAATTTTACAAAGATCTTTATAGTATGAATGATTTAAGAGTCGCCTGTCAAAACAAGAGGCAAGGGAGCAGCGAACACAGAACAAGAGAAATAAAATTAATAGATGAACTCGAAATTATATCTGCAACGAAAATATTAAAATTTGATAAAAGTCCTGGCTCCGACAATATTACAAACGAAGCAATAAAAGTAGCCGACACAATCTTAGCTCTACCATTGACACGCTTGTTTAATCTCATATTAAAAACTGGAATGACACCGTGTCAATGGTCACACTCCGACATTATCCTGTTGTACAAGAAGGGCGATCCATGTGATATTGGAAACTATAGGCCAATAAGCTTGTTACCATCTATGTATAAACTTTTTTCATCTATTATCAACAAGAGACTCAGTTCAAACTTGCAAAGTAAGCAACCAATAGAGCAAGCGGGCTTTAGAAAAGGGTTTTCAACAGTAGATCATATACATACTTTAGAACTGCTTATCGAAAAGTATCAAGAACATAACAGGCCACTCTACATCGCTTTCATCGATTACCAGAAAGCTTTCGACTCAGTCTCACATAAAAGTATCTGGGACACGTTACAATCACAAAACGTAGAAAGTGAGTACATACAGGTAATCAAAAGTATATACAGCGACAGCACAAGCAGAGTCAAACTCGAAAAAACAGGTCCAAGTTTCCCCATAAAAAGAGGCGTCAGACAGGGGGACCCACTCTCTCCGTCGCTCTTCATTGCAGTACTAGAAACAGTAATTAGCGATTTAGATTGGAAAGCCAAAGGAATAAAAATACAAGGACACTATCTTAACCATCTCCGCTTTGCTGACGACTTAGTATTGTTGTCTGAAAAAAGTCCGGAATTACAAAATATGATAAATGAACTACACATAGCCAGTACGCGAGTGGGCCTCGAGATGAATTTTTCTAAAACAATGCTTATGACTAATAGTACAAGGAAACAGATTTTTGTGGATAATAAGTCTCTTAATTATGCACAACAATATGTGTACCTTGGCAAGCAAATAGGATTTAACAGGAATAATAACGACCTAGAAAAAGAAAGAAGAATTCAAAGCACATGGAGCAAGTACTGGAGTATGAAAGAAATTTTTAAAAGCAACATGCAAGTCAATACAAAAACCAAGGTAATGCAGTCGTGTCTTCTCCCATGTTTAACATATGCGTGCCAAGTAAAAAGAAAAATAGTAAGCTGTCAAAGAGCAATGGAACGCAGTATGTTGAACATAAAGAAAATTCAGAAAGTGAACCACTCAAAAATAAGTGCCATTACAAAATCGACTAACGCCTTACACCACGCTCAAAAATTAAAATGGAAATGGGCCGGCCACATTGCTAGACTTCAAGACGAAAGGTGGACCTCAAAAATAACAGAATGCCTTCCATTCTACGACCGTACGGTAAACGTAGAAGAGGCAGACCCGTGGCACGATGGGAAGACGAGATAATAAAACTAGCCGGGCCCAAGTGGATGGAACTGGCAAAAAACCGTGACAAATGGCATTCTTTGGAGGAGGCCTTTACCTGTGTAGGGGTTCTTGCAAATTAAATCCCAATAAGTAAATGTAAAATAATTTCAATAATTTATAATTTTGCATGATTTTAATTAATTTGTATTTATTTTAATCAATTTAATTATTTTAACAACCAATTAATAATTATCTCAAATTTATTTTTATATCAAGTGTAACTTACCACATCACGCATGTAAATTCTATTTAATTATAACAAGCACCTACATCATTACATTACATTATAATTAGCACAATTCAATGATATTCAAACAATTATTGTATTTTTCTTTACCTTCTATGCAAGAAATAAAAGGCTTTTTATTTTATTTTATTTTATTTATTTATATATATATATAAAAAAAACAGTGGAGTCTTAGTAATAGGATCCATTTTTACCATATGGGGACGGAACTCGTAATAAAATTTTTGCTCGTCATATTGGTAGCTTTCCAATTACAGCATTATATTAACGTTGAGTGTTCCAACTACAGCAACGCTTCGCACAATTGAGCACTCTCAAAAGTAATGCTTTCGTGTGATGCGTGCAATCGTACCAACTCAGAGACAGAAAATTAACAAGTGTTTTTTCTTTAAGTTGGCATTGATCGAAATGTTTTATTTATATGTTATCGTTAGTAATATTATTTATTGTTGAAAAATTATTAAAACTTCCGTTTCATCATAGTTTTTTTTTAAATAATCAAAGTTAATTTAAACTGTGTTAAAAATTTAAAATTGAATATAAATATGGATGAAGGTACAAACATTGACTTTTTTTTTCAACACTGAACTTAGCGCACTCTGCTGGTGCATTTGAAAACTAATTCACGTTCCAATTAAGCATCAGCATAATTCGCCACTGAGTCGCATTATGCTCTGTAATTGGAAAACCACCACCTTTTCCATAAAAAAGTGGAGTAGAATCTTTTTGCCATGCCTTAAAAACCGTGTTTGTTCCAGACATCAGCTGACGGCAACATCACTAGCAGCATACTGACCTTCGTGCCGAGCATAGACGACGCTGGCAGGGTGCTCTCCTGCCGGGCGGTGCAGCCCTCCCTCCCCCACTCCACTCACGAGGACGGGTGGAAGATGGAGATCCAGCGTGAGTCTACTTTCATGATCTCCTAGTCTTCCCTACAATCAGAATCAGATTATTGATGTGTAACATCTTTCCTCTCGCTTTCGTGCAATTTGTGGGAGTGATTACGTGACGTGGGACGGAAGTGTGTAACAGGAAGTTTGGGAAGCGCGCGCTATTTGATTTGACTTTTGAAACATAATGTTCAAATGGCTTACTCCTTTTGTAGTAGGTTTTATTTCTTTTTTTACTAATATAAAGGTGAGGTTACAAATGTTACACATCATACGCGACTACTGTAAGGCTCGCTCGCTTTTTTTTATTTGTAAAATGAAGGTTAGTAGGTTACATTAAAGGTGTTACAGTTTATATAATATTTTTTGTATCACTTCATTTTATCCCTTTTTCTAAGGTATACAAATAATATTAAGTCGAGATTATTATTACATTAAAATATTTTATCACTATCATTTATTAAACAAATTGTCATCTTAGTCATTTCAAAAAATAGAACATGAATCATTATTAATAATCAAAAACAATACATTAGTTTATTAGAAACATGTCAGTAATATTTCAAATAATGTCATAGTAGAAGAATATAGATAGATAGATAGATTAATACTTTATTATAACACCAAATACATAATTAAGTAACATTCACAAACAATAATATTAACGAAAGCGTTTTAATTGTCGGTCTTATCGCTAAGAGCGATTTCTTCCAGACAACCACTATACATATATAAATGTTGACGATTTAATGATGTGGTCAAATTAAGTTGGCCGCATCATGAAATGTGACCATTTCATGAAATTCTCGAGCATTTCATGAAGTAAGCAAATCTACGATATGGCCACGTCATATATATGTACTTATTAACAATGTTATTTATTTTAATGATTTGTCGTTTATGAACATCTGCACTGAATAATATTTCTTATTATTATTACAATATCTGATTACCAAAATTTATTTAACAAATTGTTGTCGTAGTAATTAGGTATTTAATTAATTAAAAAACAATTATTAATGAAATTCATGGCAGTACATATTACAAATAATGTCATAACTATTAGAAAGAAATACTTTATCATTGTCATTCACCCACTGTAGGTATGTATCAAGACCATTTTATCAATAAAAACCAGGCTTTTACGCTGGATGGTTCCAAATTGCAAATTCAGCTTTGGACTACCTATTTAACTTTCATAACGTGAACTGAACATACTCGCCGGGAGCTCTGTAAATCCTCCCATTATTGAAAATTAAATTCACCGCATGAGAACTTAATGCGCTTAAATATTCAACGGTCAAAGTTTTACGAGTCGTGATATCGTTTCCACATAGCGATGCGCGACTTCGAATAATACTAATACTAATCATTCGACTCTACGAATCATTCTACCAAGTCGACTGCGCTTTATCATTCGACTGGAGTCGAAGGTATCGGGCGGCGACTAACCGACTCTCGACCTTAGATTAAAACAAAAAGGGTAGATACGGCACTAGCCTCACAAAAGTGATCCGCATGAATTGTGGTCCACGACCCTAATCGCTTTAGTCACAACTTGACATGCAAACGACGTACATGTGAACGCCAAAAAGAAATATTTGCTAATATTTTGTGTTTATATGATAAAACAATGCCTTAGTGTGTTTTTAAAAAGTGCTCATATTGCTCAAGAACTAAAAATAAAACCCAAGGCTTTTCATTCGTAAGTACTATAAAATATTTTTTTTCATAAAAAATGCTGTTTGTTTTGAATCTTATTCGGTAGTGACGTCGAGTACTGGTCGCGTGATTGGTCGGTAGTGCAGTGACGCGGATCTCGCCGTCTCGTTCGCGCTGCCGTTGAAACTTAACGTGCTGTTTCGTTCGGGTTGGTAATGCAGTGACGCGGATCTTGCCGTCCCGTTCGCGCTGCCGTGGGATCAGTTTTTGTTTGATGCAAGTATGAGCGTACCGTATCTACCCTTTTTGTTTTAATCTAAGCTCTCGACTGACGTATGTTACGAAGACGAACAAACCGGGTCGTCTCGGGCTTGGTCGGGCGAACTCGTCGAGTGAAAGAGATGAGCAGAGTTAATAGGGTACTACTTTCAATTGTTTTTTAATGATTAGATCTATATATGAACTCTTTATATTAAAAATTTATATAAATCAAGTAACAATAAACAAATTCGCTCATAAATATAGTTTTCACTGAAAAAAATTAATTAATTATTATAATTAAAAACAGATACAAGACTATCGTAGCAGGTGCCAAGTACGAACGTACGGAAACTAACTGAACTAAGGCAAATGATGAACGAACGAATGAATATGAAACTTATTCGTTGCGCTCTTGTGAATTTGACATTAGTATTACTAATTAGTAGTCGATATTCGAATAATGACATTAGTATACTACTAATTTGCCTTTCGAATAGCCAAATTAGTATTTGCGAATTAGTCGAAAGGTAAAATCATTCGGAGTCGCGCATCGCTATTTCCACAGTTCCTTTCCCAGATTCGGCAGTAGGGGACTACTACAATAATAGTAAATGGTGGGAAAACTTATAACTGCGAGCGGATAGAAAACTATTCGGGAACCATTTGGTCTGGAGATATTGCAATGACTTGGCTAATAGCAACTCGGCAACTAAAGGCGATTTTTTCACTTTTATGAGACGTGTGAAAGTATTTCCTTTGGGTTTTATAGTACTCTTGATCTACAGTTACTACAATTACTTTATCGAGTTCAAAGTTTAAAAATAAATAGACTTTGAACTTGACAGAGTCAAGAAAAAAATGCCAGTACCCCTAGCACGAACCATTATCGAATTCGAATAGTTTGTTTGCGAGTCCGAAATGTCATTGTCAAAATTTGTATGGAAACTTGAACAGCAGTGCCACAAAGTACGTAACGAGAACTAAAAATCAGTACACATTTGACATTGACATTTCTGACTCGCAAACGTTACGAATTCGATATTGGTTCGTGCTAAGGGTACAGTTACTTGATTTGTGCGGCCAGACTGGCGCGTAAAATGTGTTTGAAACGGAGCTAAAAGAAGAACGGGCTTCTGCTAAAATTTAATTAAAAAAAATCTAACACAAGAGCGTTTTTTTTATAACATTCACCCTTTTCAGGGAAGGCAAATGGAACAATGCCCATGCAGCCTATCTTAAGTTTTATTAATCTTTTTTTTTTCAGCTTTTTCGATAAGCTTTTTGTTTTTCACTTCCACTTGACCGGACTAGTGAATATTTAAAAGACTCCACTAATCCTTCAGTTGCGCAAACGGTTGTAACACAAAATCACACCAATTTTATTTCACAATATCCACTATGAACGAATTAAAGAATAATTAAAATATGACGCCAGCCACACTCGATGAAATCGCGCCAATAACTCCCCATAATAAAAGAGTGAGATCTAAAACAAAGGCCCTTTATGTAATGCATATTTGACGACCTCCGTGGCCGAGTGGTTTGTACGCCGGGTTTCATGGTGTCGCCGACTCGAGAGGTCCCGGGTTCAACATAACACAAGCCTTATAGTGCTTACTTTGGGGCTAGGCTAATTGGTGTGAGTGTTGGAAATATTTATTTAAAAATATTTATTTATTTATATTCTCCCGTTATGGGAAAGCAAAGGATCCAAACATTGATTAACATCACATTTAAGATACTTCTGTATTGTAATTAGGTGACAGTGATCAGGTCACCAGGTGGCCCATATACTTTTGAGCATATTGTCCTATGATATTAATAAAAGTGTTCAAATTGTCTTTCAAATTGATGCCGCCTCCTGTATCAATATAAACCTGCCATTGTTCGTCGTTTATATCTATACGTCATGCGTCTGACGCTTCACAATTAATCATCCTATTTGATAAAACGAACATTAATTAGATTTTATGATCCATTACGGGAATTCAATGGAAGACTTCCGTTCTTTATATTTCTTCAAGGACATAACACATAGAGTATTTGTAGTGATATGTTTAGTTTTATTACTAATGACCTGAGCAACAAAATACAAATCTTTATTTTTTATTATATTGTTTTGCAATTATTGTTCAATGTATGTGTTTTAGTTCTACCTTATTTTCTCCAGTTTTTTTTTTGTTATTTCTAAAGAAAGTCAAGATTCGCCGTCCTATTATTTGAAATGCCATAATTATTATTTTGAAGTAATAAATGTATTATCAATCTAAAGAAAAGTTTACTAGAAAAAAGTCAACGCGGCAGCAGACGGGACTCGAGTCCTGTCCTGTGTCAGGTGCCTGGTCCGCGTGGATTTTTTCCTAGTAATCATTTCTTTCGTTTTAAACTTCTAGCAATTAAATACTCAAAAAATTTTACTTTATAAATTTATACCTTTTAATGATACAATATTTTAAAGGTAAAGATAAAGGATTTTTTTCCTTTAAACTTGACTGAATGCCGTTAATTTTTAAACATACTCAAATATTCATGAAGTACCTATTATTATATTATCTACATTATTCGTGTTACCATATCTCCAAGTATTGTGGCCGTTATGGAAAGCCTTATGAAAAATATAAAACTTTATGAAATTTTGCTAGGAACCAATTCAACTTGTTTCAGGAAAATCTTATTCGTATCTGAGCCAAATTGTTTTCTAGTAAAATTTTACCTTGATTTCTCTCAACTTATTCGTTTTTCTACAGATTTACCGGTAGTCAAGTTGGAACTTGGCGCTAACTTGGACGCCAGTAAGGTGGTGGAAGGTTCAGACGTGTACCTCGACTGCAGGGTGCGAGCGAACCCGTGGCATACGCATGTATACTTCACGCACAATGTGAGTAGGATAGTAGGCCTTCATCGTCATTATCATCAGCCTATTAATGTCCCTTATCTGGTCTTTCTCATGGATGGAGTAGGGAGATAGGGCCGTGACTAGTGTTGCCAGATGCGATTTGTTTTAAATCGGTACATGAGGTCAAAAAAATCGGGATTTAGGGTTGCTGATCGGGACAGTAAACAAAAAACAAGTCGGGGTTTAATTTTTTGATTAATCGGGACATTTAGCGTCCCGATAAGGTACAAATCGGGACACGTCCCCAGGCCCCTGAAAATCGGGACGTCCCGCGCAAATCGGGACACCTGGCAACACTAGCCGTGACCTACCGCGCGGGCCCAGTGAGGATTGGTGGGTGCCAACGACTGCAAAAGCAGTCGGAACCAACGGCTAGACGTGCCTTCTGAAACACGGAGGAGGTTGAGATAGAAAATGATTCGTTACCCGTCCAATGACCGACCCCTGCGAAAGTCGCTTAACTTCTAAGCAGCCGAACGCGCTAACCATATGATCCATCGAGTTCCTCTAAGAAATGCTAAATTAAACAATTCGACGACGCCGTTAGGGTCTCGGTAAGTTTTGCGAAAGGCGCAAATTCAAATCTTGACTGAATTCTAGACTGTGTGTATTTCTTAAATTTTCTGAAGATAGTCGAGATTTTCGGCCATTCGTAAAAAGACAATAAAAATGTACTTTAGATTGCTTTAAATTCCTAGAATTAATATATTTCTATTAGGCATCTAAACGTTTAATTGCCAAGGGACCACTTGCACCAAAGTTCTTAAAATAATTTGAAAACGAAATCGAGTTAAGAAGTCTTCTTCTACCTCTTTGAATTTCAATAGTTTGACAAGGATAAAGTGTTGTGCTAATCAAGATTAAGCTTTAATTTCAATCAAGAATTTCTAGACATAAAACTTTTCTAGACAAGAATCATTCGTAAGGTCATTAATTTCTGCGCGGTGGTGGTTACCTACCCATACGGCCACTCCGATTCGAGCGGAAAATCCGCTATGCCCTATCTCTCTTAAAATTTTTGGTTACCCATCTTTTAACCGGAAATTGTGATAGTTACTTAACTTCCACGATCGCAGATCGAACGCGTTAACCTTAAGTTAATGTATTATAGGTAATGCAAATAAGTTATAAACCTTCAGAGACCACCAAAAGATTCTGAAATCTCGACGATGTTTTTTATTAAAATCTCTTAAATTTTCAATCGTACAGGTTTGGGCCACAGCAACGGGAAATGCCATTGATTATCGTTATGATAGACGTTTAAGCTACAGTGCGCGCGCGATCTAAGTGCAGCTCTGAGGAATGCGCTACTGCTTGGAAACACAGCTTCCATTTGTTTATTTATTTATAACAAGCTTATAATTGGAACCTACTTGCTAAATTTGGAGTCTCTAGTCAGTCAGTCAGTTTCTTCTTTTATATATTTAGATGGCACAATAATAGGCATCAGGCAAAAAAAATGGTTGCCTGTAAAGTCGGTTTTACGGGCGAAGATTTTACGTGACAACGTCTTTTTCTCGGTAGAATATTTATTGATATGAATATAATTAAATTGCACAATAGGAACAAGGAATTGAATGAAAATAAGAATTGCACAAATTTTAACTATAGAAATATATTTTGTTTACTAAAACATTGTACATGTAAACTTAAACTTAACACGAGAGACTCATCGTAACGTTACCGAGCGTTACACTTTTTCATAAGTGACTCCCAGCCGCAACCTAATTTAAGACGTTGTCACGTCAAAAAAAACAATAAAGTACAAAAAAAATAAAAAAAGCTATGGACATGCCTGTGCCCTATTACAATTGTGCACAACATTTACGTAAAAAAGACATTGAACGAAGATTAAGGTATCTCAAAAAAAACCAAAGTAAAAATAGGTATTCACTGAAATACTTTAATCATAAATAACCTAATTATTTGCATGACTGTTCCCTGTGATTCTTTTTGCGTTAAAAAGACTTGCGAAATTTGTAAAAAATAATTCATAAAAATGCTTCCAAGTGATTGGTGCTTGTCGTGGCAGTTTGTAATTAAGGCCACACTACAATTTCTATTGTAGAACCATGTAATTTAAACATGTTTTAGTAAGTGTCTTGTAAACTGTCCTTAAATAAATAAATATACAAATATTTATTATAATACACATAATGCCTCAATTAATAGGCAATACATCTACGCAGAAAGTGGAAATATTTTAGTTTTTATATTTTTTGGTGTTCAGTACAAAGTTTTAAAAAAGAATTCTTGGAAGAAAATATGCTACAGTTAAATATGTCATGATCAGAGCAAATATTATTTAAGTATGAACACATCCTGTTCAATGGGCTGTTCTTGCTGCTTGGCTGAATTAATTCCCTTCAGGCGTGCTAGGCGCCGGAACCTTATACCTCGACTGCAATCGGATCGCGCGCGTACTATAGCTTAAACTTGTATCAACGCGATAATTAACGGCATGTCTCGTTAGTGTGGCCCAAGCGATTGAAAATTTTAAAGATTTTAATAAAAAAAATCGTCGAGATCAAAAACTTTAACAGAGATAGGGCATAGAGTCCAGGCAGTTTGGTAGTTAATAGATCTTACAATTCTTCATCATGATTTATATCTTTTCCAACAGGGAGCAGTCGTTAAGCCTGGCCCGGGGGTACTCCTGGCGAATCAGAGCTTGGTGCTGCAGCACGTGTCGAGGAAAGCTGCTGGTGCATACGTGTGCTCTGCCAGAAACGTTCTCGGGGAAGGGGCCAGTGAAAATCTGATGCTTGACGTCAAATGTGAGTTATCATTGATGAACTATTAGTTTCTTCTTAAAGATTTTTAATATATTTCCACGCAAACCTACAATTGAATACAAAAGTATAACTTTTATATTAAATAGTCACGCCACGCCAAGAACGCATGCAAACTAGACAAGTAACAAGTAAAAAAACATCACCATGAAGAAAATTCATGGTGGTGGCCAGATCAAATTAAGGAGGGATCACACCAACAAACTTTCTGCGACGTGGTGAGAGTGGCTAGAGATCACAACAGGTGAAGGCAAATCATTCGCTCCTGGAAGAGTCCAGCAAGTGGTTACGATTTTCAGTAATGAAGGAACGAGTGCAGAAAAAGAATCTAATAAAACCACGTCAAGACAGACCATAGACAAATAATGAAATTGCAGAATTATTCCTTATGTCACGCTCTTGTTATTCTGCCTCTCACTTGACCCTATTTGTTCATTTAGGTCATTGTCAAACAGCCTTTTAATGTCCCTACTGTTCAGGGGACCAGGCCTTTTCTTTGGATGGCAAAGAAACAACGAGCCAAGGCCCACCACGCGAGCCAAGGGTTGGCTGTGTGCTAACGACTGTAGGTAGATACACTACAGCCAACAGTTTGAAACCCAGAATATCCAGATAGAGGACTGCTGATGCAGCCAAAGCTCGTCGTCATCAGCCTATTATTTAGTTAATCTTTTAGGCCTTTACACTGCAAATGGCGGACTGTAGTATTTATTGTCCGTATTTACTGTATTATTGCTTGTTGTATTATTGCCCCACTGCTGGAGCACAGACTTTCCCTATAGATGGAATAGAGAGATTGGGCCATGACCCACGCGCGCCCAGTGCGGATTGGTGGGTGCTAACGACTGCAGATGCAGCCGGGACCAACGGCTTCACGTGCCTTCCGAAAAGTTGCTTAACTTCAACGATCGTGATGAAGCAACATGCAGGCCGGCAGGGTGAGGATGGCTGGTGTGGCAGGTAGAACTGCTGTATCAGCTATCTTCGCGTCTGGACTTCACCTCCACTTAACATCAGGTGGGGTGGAGTCATTTGTCGGAACTATCTATAAAAAAAAAACGATCGTAACCGAACGCGCTAACCACTTGCGTCATCAAGTTTAACTTTATGTACAGTAAATTGTGTCTGAAATACAGCATGCTTAAATTTTGGTCACCCATCCGATGTAATAACTACTTGTAATTGCCCACATTGTGATAGTTAGTCTTAGAACTCAAGTGATAATTTTAAAATTGTATTCTTATGTTCACTCAGATTCTCCTACGTGCCAATCTACACAGCCTGTAGTGCTCAGGGCTGCCAGAGGGGAGTTGATCGACATTGAATGTGACCTAGATGCCAACCCCAAGGTAAGTCTACTCAGTGGAAATACACAAAATAGTCCCGCTATCCTCAAAAGAAAAAAGTTCAACGTACTGCTGCTCATGAAGATGATGATGAAATTAAACATTATAATATAATTATGTCTACTTAAAGCCGCCAATGCATGTCGGCCTAGCTTAACCCAACGCGAGCGTATGCAAACTAATATAAGCATATAGCAACACGACCGACACGGCCTGGAGGGGAGTAGGCATTCAAAGCCCGTTGTATTCTACCCGCAGAAATTCGGCAGAGGGGAAACCTCTGCATTTATATAAAAATACATATTAAACATTCATGACTGGAGTACAAATGCGCGTATGTCGATAACTTAAAGACCAAATCATATCATAATCTTTATTGCTTCATGTTTGTACATCCGAACTAATATTATAAATGCGAAAGTAACTCTGTCTGTCTGTCTGTCTGTTACTCTTTCACGCCAAAACTACTGAACGGATTTGAATGAAATATGGTATACAGATGGTCTAGACCCTGTGAAAGGACATAGGCTACTTTTTATTGCGAAAAGGGGGTTGTAAGGGGTTAAAAAGGGGGGGGGGTGAAAAGTTGTATGGGAATTCTCTCATTGCTACTTGCTTTCGCTCAACATTGTTATGTCCTAACAGGACTCATGTGTTTGTACCTTATAATCAGTGCCTTGTTTGACCTATTGGAGGCCCTGGGCATATTACGATAATGGGCCCCTATGACTTCCGTTTGGTGATTTAACAGGAACTAGGGACTTTGTATTTGGTCTGAGGGGGCCCTCTATCGATCGCGGGGTTCTGGGCACTTACCCAAAGTGCCCACTAGGAAAGACGGGTCTGCTTATAATAATGTAAGATATTGTTTACCACATGAAATGCAATAAACATTACTCTTTTCTGATTTTAAACATAGTAACAAACATTATCTTTTTGAAGTCGCATTATAGTTAGTTTATTTTCAGTTTTTTGGTAAAATACAGTATTATCACACTAATATCATAAAGGCCAAAGCGATTTATGAGTATGTGAGTGTGTATGTTCGTTACTCCTTCACGTTTAAACAGCTGGAGCGATTTTAATAAAATTTGGTATGAAGTTAGCCGAACCCTGGATTAACACATAGGTTACGTTTTACTGCGGGAAAATATCCCTCATTAACCGCGGGGCATAAATTGAAAGAAATGCACTCAGAAATACTTTTTTTGTTTTTAAAGTTACCCTCGATGGATTGTGAATTATTTTATCTCATTTCACTTTCCTTTCTAGTAAAAATACTGTTTTTATTATTTATACATTGATGGCAACACTGTATTCACATTAAACGGAAATGGGCGTTAATTCTGCAACACAGTATTTTACAACTATAGCCGATTTAAAGTTTCATGATTGTATGTACAATGAACTTGTTCCAAATAAAGTTATTTTTATCTCCTATATTCATTGTATAACGTATTAATTACCTACATTTTTAAATCTTATTAGTTTTATTATTGTTAGTTACGTTACACCTCCGAAACGGCCTGACCGATTTTTATGAAATTTTATATACATATTCCGTGGGTCTGAGAATCGGCTACTATCTATTTTTTATATCCTTAAGTGATAATGGTTGTCCACCTGTAACGTAGTGTTCTGGATACTATAATGCGTCTTCGTGCCAAAATTCAAACTATTGGGTATTGTAACGTAGTGTTCATTTGAGAGGGTTAGGAGGAAATTTCTCCCAGGTTTTTTTTTTATATTGTGGTATTAAAAAATACATACAACCCTAAATTTCTCTACCACCTGCCCCTATATTTATGGCGGCACGATGTTCGCTGGGTCAGCTAGTATTAATATAAAAATAAAAACATTTAAAACTATAAAAATGTAAGCCAACCGGTATCGGGAACAGGGTCCTGGCTACCGGTGGTTAGGGCCCCTGAGAAAGGAACCTCCTCACTATGCAAGCCGTGTCAAGTAGTAATGCCTTCTGCGTCAGGCCCTTGACCCAGTCACCCAACTCGAGCCTCCGCAGATGGCAGTCGAGGCTCTTCGCTATCAGGCTGTTGACCGTCACAATTATTTATTTATTTTTTGGAAGACCAACAGCTATTAATAAAAATAATAAAAACTTAAATAACAACAGAAAGCCAATTACAGGTCTTCACCAATAAAAACACACTACACCATAATTAAGCACACTGTTAACATGATAATTACAAAAAAAAAAGCATTGTACAATTGCCTATTTGTCGAAAAATGTACTGCTCAATACGCTGAACGCTAGGGTAAAACAAATCAATGCCAGTTTTCTCAGATACAATATTAAAACTATTACCTGCAGACAAGAGATTTTTTTTGACGACCTCCGTGGCCGAGTGGTTTATACGCCGGGTTTCATGGCGTCGCCGACTCGAGAGGTCCCCGGGTTCGAATCCCGGTGGGGGCAGATGTTTGTGTGATGAATACGAGCATTTGTACTCCAGTCATGGATGTTTAATATGTATTTCATATAAATATACTTATATATGTACAATATATGTATTCTATCCGTTACCCTAGTATCCCATAACACAAGCCTTTACAGTGCTTACTTTGGTGCTAGGCTAATTGGTGTGAGTGTTGGAAATATTTATTTATTATTATTATTTATTATTTATAAAAGATACGAATTCTGTCTATAGTTTGAGTTATCGGCACAATATTTTATTTGTTTATCTTTCTCGGCTTTCATGAGGTTGTCGTCATGAGGGACGGTCATATTTGTTTATTATTATTATTATAGTGGTTGAGTTTACACAGTAATTACGTAAATGGACGGAAGGAAGACCGCTTACGTAGCAACCACGGCTTATTACGATGCACCGACACTAAGGCCAAGCTGCCACGAGTTGCCGACACTGCATTTTCATATTGTATAATTAATTAACATTTCTAACGCATTCTGGTTCCGACCTCGAACCGATCATTAGGCTATTTAGATGTAATTTTGTCATATGTAATTTTTCCTTTCTATTAAACTTATATAAAAACTAGTGGCCCGCTCTTGCTTCGCTTCGGGGTAGAATTGATCAAAATCCTTTCTTAGCGGATGCCTACGTCATAACATCTACCTGCATGCCAAATTTCAGCCCGATCCGTCCAGTGGTTTGGGCTGTGCGTTGATAGATCACTATGTCAGTCAGTCACCTTTGAGTTTTATATATATAGATATAGATAAATATTTTTTTTCGATCCTCCGACTGTAACAAACGTAATTCAGTGCTGTAAAGGATTAAAGACAACATATAAACAAACAAAGGTTTTTTTTTAATCCTCGAATAATAACACGACGTCACTCAATATCCCTTTATACATGCCAGTCGGTGGAGCATCATCAAAGGTGCAAAACAGAATCAGATAGTAGATAAAATATACAATGTTGTATTACCGTTTCTATATATAAATTACCTGACCCAGCGAACTTCGTACCGCCCTAAAAAAATAGGGGTTGTCCAGCGGACAAAATTGTGAATCGAAACCATTCTCAGATCCCCTTGAACACACACAAAAAATTTCATCAAAATCGGTCCAGTCGTTTAAGAGAAGTTCAGTGACATACACACTCACAGAAGAATTATATATATAAAGATAGGTGCCTACCCTTTCCTCGCGCTCAAGGAACTTATTAAGTTTCAATAAAATTTGCCATCGCTGTCCCTTAGGTCATCAGAAAATCTGACCCTCGCAATGTCCGTTCACCGCACCAGTTTTTGTGACCTTTCCTTTGCCGTACAAGCTGTTCGATTTAGGAACTCGTTGCGTACTAATATCAGACGTGCTCAATATTTGAATATTTCCAAAGACAAGTACCCCTAGCACGAACCAATATCGAATTCGAATAGTTTGCAAACTGAAATGGCATTGTCAAATTTTGTATGGAAACTTGAACAGCAGCGGCACAAAGTACGTAACGAGAACTAAAAATCAGTACACATTTGACAATGACATTTCGGACTCGCAAACGATTCGAATTCGATTTTGATTCGTGCTAGGGGTACAGATCAAAAATTTAAATTTATTCGCAGTGAATCTTATGATACTGTGTAAAATGTTTATTGTATGTAGGTGTATGTATATATGTTATTGAATGTATTTTTATATTGAAGTGAAATCATCATCATCAGCCTATTAATGTGCCCACTGCTGGGGCACAGGCCTTCCCTATGGATGGAATAGAGAGATAGACTGCGGATTGGCGGGTACTAACGACTGCAGATGCAGCCAGGACCAACGGCTTAACGTGGTAGGCTAATTGGTGTGAGTGTTGGAAATATTTATTTATTATTTAACTAACTTTGACATCGTTTGCACTAAATAATTAGTTTCCCCATACCCTTATCCCTGTTTGACCAAGCTCAAATTATATTTTTTAAAAAACAAAATACTATAACCGTCTCCAAGGTCCCATCTATCTCTATACCAAAATTCATTGTAATCGCCTCAGTTGTTTAGATGTGAAAGTGAATTTAGTTCGTATCCTGTTGCTATATTTAGAGACTCCATAATACTTATTTTCCGAGATCTCCTCCTTCCTGAAAAAAACCTTTATATTTCTATTTTACATTTGTACGATCAAATCGTACATTTTGCTAGCAAAGCATTTTTAACCGCAAGTAATTGTTTAGGTGAATATTTTACTGTTTAAATATATTTCATAATCACGCCCAAGTTAGTTCGCGTTTGTCTCAAGCAGTGTGCACACAGTTAATTTCAAGTTTAATAATAAATATTTTCGTCAAGTTTATCAAGTGTTTTCCTGTCTTCGATATCAAGAAATAGCAATTCAGTGTACTGAGTTGACAAGGGCTCGTACATTAGTGGTCCTTCGAGCCGGATTTTGACAAGGGCTCGTACAACATTATAGGTATATTCAAGAAGTGACGTCATGTCGCTGTTGATTTGCCATTCATATCTGTTCCGATTTCCGTAGACTGATCGAAGCAAGGTAATTGACGAGTATGCAGTACCAAAAT